TTTCCTGGCTCTCCCCCTTGGCCTGACCCTGTCCACTCCGCTGGGCCCAGGACAGCACTAGCTGTGACCTCTGGGTCGCCGGGACCAGAGGAGGCTGGGGTGGGAGGTGACTGCTGCCAGTCTGAGACCCCCACTGGCCCCCTCCTCTCTCCACCTGCCTCTGCACCCGGACAGTTCTTTGAGTTGGACGTGTACCACAGCGATGGGACGCCTCTCACTTCGGATCAGATCTTTGTGCAGCTGGAGAAGATCTGGAACTCGTCGCTGCAAACTAATAAAGAGCCCGTGGGCATCCTCACCTCCAACCACCGCAACTCCTGGGCCAAGGCGTACAGCACCCTCATCAAAGGTGTGGGGTTCGGGGGAAAGAGAAGGGGGCACAGCCTACCTCTGCCCACACCAAGTCCTCTTATCTCCAGTCGTCGTAACTCCTGGGCCAGGGCGTACGGCACCCTCATCGAAGGTGCCCCCGGGGTCAGGGGATACATCCCGACCTCTGTCCACACCAGGCCGTGGGCGGGATTCAGTTTCTCACTGAATCCTCTCGACTCAGGGCAGGTGTCCTTAGCCCCGTTTCACAGATGAGGAAACTGAAGCTCAGTGGGGTTAAGTTCATTTCCCTCTAATAGGTAGCAGCCCAACCCCTGCTGCCACAGCCCCTCCAAACCCCATATTAGTCAGGGGCATTGTCCCCGAGTCAGACCCCTGTGTGGGCTCCCTGACTGCCACGCTGGCTCCCCGTGAGACCCTGGCCTTCTGTGAGACCCTGGCCTCGTGTCTAAAGTGGACCAGGTGTTGGGGCCTGCATCACAGGCTGCTGTGGGGCTGCAGGGCCCTGTTAAGAGTGAAACACTCAGCGAATGTCCTGGAGGCCTCCCAGGCCGCCCCAGGCCTGACAACCGCATTTTGTGCCCCATCCCCTCCCGTGCCACCTGCAGACAAGGTGAACCGGGAGTCGGTGCGCTCCATCCAGAAGAGCATCTTCATCGTGTGCCTGGATGCACCCATGCCTCGGGTCTCGGAAGACGTGTACCGCAGCCAGGTGGCTGGCCAGATGCTGCATGGGGGTGGCAGCAAGCTCAACAGTGGCAACCGCTGGTTTGACAAGACACTGCAGGTAAGGACCTGGCAGGGCCTCGACTCCCAGCCCAGACAGATACCCATGCTAGGCACCCCGACAGCCTCGGGACTTCCTGCCTCTCACATGGGCGTCCCTGGACTCCCAGCCCGTAAATCAGGTGGAAGCCATCAGCTGGACGCCACTGTAATTACCGGGCAGTCAGCTCGTCATTACTGGGCCTGGCCCAGAAACTGTTGTCACCTCCAACACACCCCTTTAGCACATCAGAAAGAGCCTGGGATGCGAGGCCGGGCAGAGCGGCACAGCCTTGGCCGTGGCTTTCCCCCGCTGCACCTGTCAAGTGGGGTGGTCGGACTCCCTGGTAGAATAGCTGCGGGGGCTTAATGAGATATGTGGGCTCAATGGGGCAGGCCCAAGGGCTCCGATGAGTGTTAGCTCTTAACAACAGTAGTAAGTCAGCATGACTCCTGAGATGGCTTCAGAGAGGCTCTTCCTATGGGACCCAACCAGAGAGTGGCTCCAGGGACCTGGGGCTGACAGGTCCCTGTTCCCCTCCACAGTTCATCGTGGCAGAAGATGGCTCCTGTGGGCTCGTTTATGAGCACGCAGCAGCAGAGGGCCCCCCCATCATCACCCTCGTGGACCACGTCATTGAGTACACGTGAGTGTGCTTCTCTCACTCTCTACCCGTTTCCCAAGTTCCCAGTGACAAGTGACACAGGGGGAATGGCATTCTCCCTCGTGCCTGGGAATCTGTTTCTTCAAAGGAAGCCAGGAGAGGGCATAGGTTTTAGAGCCTAAGAGACCTTGGTTTGAATTCTGGCTCTGCCACTTCCCAGCTGCATGACCCTGGAGAAGTCCCGTCCCCTCTCCAGGCCTCCTCCATTTGGCCACTTGAAAGCTGGAGTGGAGGCAGTTTTAGAAGAGCAAACCCAAGAGTCTCCCTGGGCTGGCCCTCTCCAGCTTCAGGGACCCATCCTCCCCACCCCAGTCCCAGGGATGGACCCAGGCTCCCCCAGCACCGGCATGAGCCTGAGGCCCCCGTATCCATGCAGGAAGCTGCCCGAGCTCGTGCGGTCTCCCATGGTGCCCCTGCCCATGCCCAAGAAGCTGCGGTTCAACATCACCCCCGAGGTCAAGAGCGACATCGAGAAGGCCAAGCAGAACCTCAGCATGTGAGTGCCAGGCGCTGCGGCGGGCCTCAGGCCCGACAGGCTCCCGTTCCAGGTCTATCGTGGTCCGCGCTGGTTCTGAGACCGCCCCCCGTGGCGATGGCAGGGGCCACCCAGTGCCTGTGCTTCACCTGCCTCCTCCCCACCCCTCAGCATGATCCAGGACCTGGACATCAGTATCACGGTTTTCCACCACTTTGGGAAGGACTTCCCCAAGTCAGAGAAGATGAGCCCCGACGCCTTCATCCAGATGGCCCTACAGCTGGCCTACTACAGGTGTGCCCCGCCCTACCCATGAAGGGGGCAAAAGAGCTGGGGGGCAGAGGTGGGGATGACCTGCGAGGGGTGTGCTCACCCCCGTCTCCCACCCAGGATCTACGGGCACGCATGTGCCACGTATGAGAGCGCCTCCCTGCGCATGTTTCACCTGGGCCGTACCGACACCATCCGCTCGGCCTCCATGGACTCACTGACCTTTGTCAAATCCATGGACGACTCCAGTGTGGCGGTGAGAGGTTTGGGGCAAGGGTGGGTGAGCTGGGCTTGAGCTATCAACTTTCCCGTTCACTTTGCCAACACACACTGATTGAGCATCCACTGTATTCCAGCCCCATGGTGGACCTAGGAATATAACAGAAGATGGAGCCATGAATTTAGCTCTGAGCTTCCTGGCAGCCAAAGAGAAAAGGGAACTATTTACGTATTCACTCATCAGCAATGAGCTTCTTCCCTAGAAGTTCCACTTCCTCCTCTCAGGGAGCTCAGAATGTAGTGCTGGGCAGGGACTGGGCTACTGAGATGGGTGACAGGAACAGAGAAGGGACAATGCTTCAGCTCCCTCTTACCCTCACCCCCATAGGAGCACCAGAAGGTTGAGCTGCTGAGGAGGGCCGTGCAGGCCCACCGATCCTACACTGACCGGGTGAGTGAGCCCTTCCTGTCCCTGCTTGCTTGACCCTTGGCCTCTCCCACCTGTCTGTCCACCTGCCTATCTGTCCCTGCAGCAAATGGTCGCTTACCCTTAGCTTGAACCACCCCTCTCCTGAGCCTTGAGGTACCTGGAGCAAGGCTGAACATCCCCATTTTAAAGGTGGAGAAATTGAGGCTGGGCTCAGCCAGTGTTCCAGGTTCCAGGCTCACCTCTGGATCTTGTGTCATACTCTCCCCAGCTTCCTGGAGCCCAGGATGCTAGGGGTGTACACAGTTGGACAGACAGCAGGGTTCCTGCCATCTGACATCGCGGGCTGCGGTTGGCGGGGGGAGGCCTGGGTTCCCATTCCAGCTCTGTCTCTTGTGCCTGTGTGCAAGGCTCTGCCCATGTTACACAGACAGCTATTTAGATTTCACTGCCACCCTGCAAGAGAATGTCAGTGACTGCCCCATCTTATAGATGAAGACACTGAGGTTCCAAGATGTAAATGACCTGCCAAGGTCCCACCACCAGGATGGGCCCCGGCCACCCAGCTCTAGGCCTGTGCTTTTAAATCCTACAGTTGCCCTGCCTCCCCGGGCAGGTCTCTGGGCTTTAGTCTCCCCATGTGTGAAATGAGGGCTCTACTGCCCGGATGCTCTGGTCTTGCAGGTCCCAGGGGCCACTGAATGAAAGAGGTGTTGCTGCCACAGCCTTCTGGGGAGGGCAGTGGCACTCTGCGGGCCCACAGCCCCTGCCCCTGACCGCGCCCCCTTCTGCAGGCCATCCGCGGGGAGGCCTTTGACCGGCACCTGCTGGGCCTGAAGCTGCAGGCCATCGAGGACCTGGTGAGCATGCCTGACATCTTCATGGACACCTCCTACGCCATCGCCATGCACTTCAACCTCTCCACTAGCCAGGTGGGCCACTGCCCCGGAGCCGTCTGGGGACCCCTGCCCTCTGGGCCCCTGCCACTGCCCTAGTTGCCCTGGGGTGGGGTGGAACAGAACTTACTGGAGCCAGAGCTGAACAAAGGCTGCACTAACTCGAGCCAAGATCTAGAACACGGTCAGACCTTGGTGGCGGTGTGGCCCGTGCAGGCCATCACAGGCCGCTACCAAAGTAGCTGAGGAGCTCGGGTCAGGGGGCTTCACTGCAGCTCAGGCAAGCTGAGGAGGAGTCAGCCCCACCCCCGGGGTAGGATCGGCTTCATTTATTCACTGATCAGACGTGAAGGAACAATCTGATCTACGCCAGTCAGTGCCGGGCACTGGAACACAACATAGACTACCGTCCCTGCCCCCGGGGGCTCGTAATACAGGCTGGAAGCACAGGAACTGAGGCAATGACGGCCCTCTGGGAAGTGCTGGGGGCTCAGGCAAGTCCCAAGGAGAGAGCAGCTAAAAGCCCCCCAGGAATGTCAGGGGAGTCTCCATAGAGGGGTGATGCTAGAACTGTACCCCAAAGGACAAGAAGGAGTTACCTGTTGGATGGAGAAGAGGAGAAAACATCTCAGGCAGAGCATAGCGGGAACAGAGATGTGGAAAAGCAGGCTAGCACCACCCCAGGGCTGGAGGGGACCTGGCGGGGTAGGGACGAGAGCCTTCATCCTGTGCCGCCCCCAGGTCCCCTCCAAGATAGACTGCGTCATGTCCTTCGGGCCCGTGGTCCCGGACGGCTATGGCGTTTGCTATAACCCCATGGAGGCCCACATCAACTTCTCCGTGTCAGCCTACAACAGCTGTGCCGAGACCAACGCTGCCCGCCTGACGCACTACCTGGAGAAGGCGCTCCTGGACATGCGCGCTCTGCTGCAGAGCCACCCCCGGGCCAAACTCTGAGCCTCCCGAGCTCGGGCCTGCCAGCGCCACAGCCAAGCCACCTCCGGGTGGGCCACCCACCAGGGCTCCACTCTTTGCTCCCTCTCCCCTTGGGCCTCACGGATTAGACCGAGCCAGGAATGGCACCCCCTAGTGGGGCCGGCAGGCCTGAGCCAAGTGCCTTCCATGAGTCATCCCAGCACCTGCAGGGGCCACGTCCTGGGCTGTGTTCAGAGGCTGAGCAGGACGTAGGCCTAGGCACTCGGTGCATCACCCACATAGGCCTTCCTCTGGGGAAAGGAACCAGCTGAGCCCATCCCCCACCAGGGTGGGAGACCAGGAAGTCCTTTTCTTGATGGCTCAGCTCTGGCCAGTTCTTACCATTTGCACGGCCAGGCCAGGTCTGACCTGAGTCCCCGAGCTCCCAAGGACCTAAAGACAGGGCTGCCTGGAGCGGGGGCTCGAGTCCTCTCCAAGCTGAGAGGCCAGGGTACGGGGTGTGCTGGAAAAGGGAAGGGGACGCCCGGGGCCTCGCCCAGCCCGCCTTGGCCCGTGGGGCCATCTCCCGCTGGGCAGCCATGCTCTTTTGGAGAATGTGGCTCAAGAGCCCTGGCTCTCTCGCTTCTACTCGGCTTGATTCCTGAACCACATTTCTAATTGTACGATAACACGCAAGGTAATTAATAAAGGGGAAATTTGTTGTCGAAGAGGCGTTCCAACCGAGGAGGCAGGCAGGTGGGGGCGGGCGCCTGGCTGCCTTCCAGCTTTCCCTGCATCTGGGGGCCGGCGTCCAAGCAGCCAGTGGGCCTAAGAGGGGCCCTGAGGCTCAGGTCAGGGAGCCAAGGGCCAGCTCCAATCATGGGGCCCTGGGCCAGAGGGGCACCAGATCCAAGACTACATCCTCACACACAACTCCCACCTACCCGTGACCTGGGCCTCTCCAGTCCCATGGGCTGTGGGTGGGGACAACTCTCCCAAGGGGCTTTGGGGCCCTATAGGCTTGGGCCTGGTGGGCCTTGTGTGGCTGACACCCAGAGCCCACGGCCTCATCCTGCTGCCTCCCACTGAGCCCAACAGAAGTGGTGCTCCAGATCACATGGCCATCTGCTCAGAACCCGAAATCTGCCTGCCGCCAACGCCATGCACCTGGCACAGGCGGGGTGTCCTGCCAAAGTCAAGTGAGCTGTTGGTAGAGAGAGGGGTCTCTCCCTCCAAGAGGGACACTCGGGCCCCTAAGGCGGATGTGAAAACCCAGAGCAGCTGCCGTGGGGTGGGCCTGGGAGAGGCACCTCGTGGCCTGGCTGACCTGTGACAGGCACGTGACAATGGGTCCTGTGGTTTTCTCCCATTTTTCAGACGATGAAATTGAGGCTCAGAGAAGTTAAGGTCATCAGGCCACTAAATGGCAGAGCAGAGGTTCTCAGAGGTCACATTTTTGTCTCCTTCGGGCCAGGGTATGGAGCCCCTGTAGCCAAGCCCCCAGCCCCACGCCTCACCCACCCAGATGACCTAGGGCGGGGGTGGAGAAGGAGGGAGGCCATGAGTGGACACTGCCCCAGACTTGGGCCCATGGGCCGGTGAGGAGGGAAGACCATCACGGCTTGTGAGGCACCGGGAGGCGCTGGCTGGGCCGGGACATCGACCTGGTGGAACCGACCTGTATTGGGCCGGGGGACCCGCTGGGCCTGACCGAATCCCCCCGCAGCCATGCAGGGGTGTGCACTCAGGGCGTTCTCGCTCTCCGATGAGGCAGCGAGAGGGTGTGCCACTTGCCCAAGGTGCCGGGGAGCGTGGAGTAGAACCCAGACGAGGGTGTCACCCTCAGCCTGGCCACTCAGGCCCCCAGCAGGGCCGGCAGGGTGGGGTAATGCCCTTCAGGGGCCATGAGCAGGAGGACCTGGGAAGGAACACCATGACAGTACACAGCCTGGGTATCATCCGTATACGGCGGGGGTGATGCTGCCCCCTCTAGGGGTTACTGGGAGTCCCAGGAAGCACGGACCCACAGCAGGAGTTGAGTGGGTGCTGGGTGAGCAGCACTAAGGTTGGGCCGCAGGGGAGGTGAGAGCGAGCCAGGCCAAGGACACTGCATGGACAGACACTCACGACCCCCAAAACTCGAGTTCTAAGAACCATATGGATCTGAATATAAGGCAGGATTTTGCCCAAAACACTCCATAAGTGAGGACATCCATTGCCTTTCAGTTGTCACAGGCCTCCAACGAAGGCCCGCTCAGCAGTTGAGAGCCACAAAGCGCTGTTGGGGAGGGCACTTTGACACCTACAATAACCCCAGTCAGTGGTGGATGGAATGCGGAGAGGGAAAGAAAAGGCAAAGAAACAATGACATTTAGTAATTACTCCTGAGGTCGTGACCTGTGACCTCACACTTTGAAGTGCTGGATGTGGGACAGGCAGGTGCTTTAAAGGTCTCTGGACACACAGGAGATAAGTGCTGAGGTTACACACCTACGGGACTGATTTTTAAAGTCCACTGTCTGGGTCTATGGCCATGCCACCCTGAACAAGCCTGATCCTGTCTGATCTCGGAAGCTCAGCAGGGTCGGGCCTGGTTAGTACTTGGATGGGAGACCACCTAGGAAGACCAGGTGTTGTACACGTAAAAATTTAAAAAAAAAAAAAAAGAGATTGTAAGCTGACAAGGTCCTTGCAATCCGTGAAGTCAAAGAGTTGCCTTGCCTAAAAAAAAATTAAATTAAAAAAAAATAAAATCCACTGTCTGGATGTTATGCCAATGGGCACTTGTGGCGTGGGACAGAAATTCCAGTGACCGAATTGTGCATGAAATCCAGAAAGTGCTGTTGTATCCATAACCGCTTAGCCAGTGGACCCAGGGGAATTTGGTCAGCTGACCCAGAGATGGCCCCTGGGGCAACCAGACCCTGATGCCAATGATGCAGATGAAGAACTTAATTTTTTTTTTTTTTTAAAGATATGAGTGAAAAAGAACGATTCTAAATTCATAGATTTTGTGCAATACGTTATTTGAAATTTAAACACGTAATAAACTAATGAACTAAAGATGACTCAGCTTTTACTAGATCCCTTAAGTTTGTCTATCCAGGTTAGCGTGAACTGAACTTTGGCTCTCTTCCTGGGAAAAGGGCAGTGGCCGGCCGGCCAACGGCGGAGGCGGAGGGCCAGACCTCACAGGCCTACGCAAACGCCCCGTTAAAGACTTGGGCTTTTATCTGAGACATGGAGGGTGTTTAGGAAGATGCTGAGGAAGTGGTAGAAAGGGGCTGATGATGGGGAGGAGGGAAGCCTGTGGGGAGACCCTGCAGCCTCCAGGCAGGGACTGGGGGGAGCGGGGGTGGGCCCACAGAGTGGACGGGGAGGCAGAGAGAGGTGGACATTTCAAAGACACTTAGGAGGCAGAGTGAGCAAGGCCTGGAGACCAACTGAACAGGAAAAGGAGGAGCTGGGCTACCTGAAGGTGGGTGGTGGGTGGGGACAGGTGTCAACTGGGGTGAAAGCAGTGAGTTTACCGGGGACCCAGGGAATACCCAGGGCTCACCGGGCAGCCCCTCCCTCCCTCCACGCAGACTCCTTCTGCCCTCCCCTCCGGTTTACTAACCGTGTTCAGGCTGCTAGGAAACCTACCTGTTGAGCTCGTTTTTCAGCTATTGGAATTTTCTGTTGATTCTTTTTAAAATCTGCCAGGGTTCACCTTACAGTTTCCCATTCTCTGCAGATATTTTCAAGTGTGTCTTTTACGTCTTTAAAACATAAAATTTACAGTCTGTGCCTGATCATTCCGGCACCTGAGGTATTTGCGGGTTTGTTCCCACTGTTTACTGATAGTTCTCCATCACGCTGTCATCTCCTCTGTACCTGGCCATCTTTATCCACATTCTGTTCATTGTAATTTAAAAACTATTCATACAAGTAATTGAAGTCTAGGATGTAGGCTCCATCCTCCAGAGATGTTTGTTTCTGCCTCACCCTGGGGTGAGGTCACCTTAACTGAATGTCAAGGTTCTGTGGATTGCTGGGGGCCCTAACCCAGCCTCAAGCTCACGTGAGGACAGGATTACTTCTGACCCCCTCACCCTACGGTGTAGCAGTTCTTAGCTCAGTGAATCAAAGATTAGACTCCCCACCTTGGCCAGCCCTCGGGGTCAACTTAACACACTCCCACGAGGTCTCCAAAAACCCAGCTCAGTTTGCATTATTTTTTCCAAAGCGAGATCCTCACTCATGCACGTGCTCAAGAAATATTGAATTAAAAACTGGAGGTGTTTATCCCGGCAGAGGCTGAGGAAGGGCACGCTGGCTGTCCCCCGTCCTCCAGGACTGTCACATGGAGGAAGAACCAGGCTTACGGAGAGGTGAACCAGAGCTGGCCAGGACCACACGGGGAGGCAGACTGGGTCTGAAAATGGGGGAACCTCCTCACTCCACGTGGCAGTGGGGTCTCCTCAGGCTCTGGTGGGAAATGTCACACAGGCCGCTCAAACTGTGGCTTTGGGGGCTGGAAGGAACTAGATGCCTCAGAGATGCTTATGATCTCTATGTTCTTAACCATATCCTTGCTCTTCATGTCCCGTGTCCCCGCAGCTGCCCCCAACCGCCTCTCATGAGCTCAGTCAACGTGTGCTCAAGCTATCAGAGTTCAAGGTTTTATTTTAAAACAATAGTAAACAATTTCATTGATTTTTCTTAAATCAAACCACCTCACACTTGGCTTGTCTCAGGCAAAAAGTTAAAAATAAGAAGGGAAGGGGAAGAAAATGTGGGGACTGACCAACCTTCCCCATAAATAGGCCCCTGGTCCTGGCATCTGGAATGGCTTTTGGACACTGTCTTTAACAAATGAGAAAAGAAAGCACCAAAATATTGTGCTTCAGCAGCAGACTGGGAACCTCCACAAAGGAAAGAGGGGGGTGAGGAGGTCCCAAACAGCCTGGGTCAGTTCTAGAAACTTCCAAGAGCTGGAAGCATGTCTATTCCACAACTCCATTTTTAGAGCGACTTAGAGATCGAGGCCCTTTCAGAGGGGCTGTCATTCCCTGACCTGGACAGTTGGGGACCTGTGACCCACACCCCAGACACAGGCTCAACGGTGACCCCAAGTGGGTTCCCAGCCTCTCGGAGGGGGTCGGACGGACAAGGAATGTTCAGAGCGCACAGAGGGAGGGGCGGGCAGGGGGCGCCCACTGCCCCACCCCTCACCGGCTCCCGTTCCTTTGCGTTTTGTTCGCATGGAGATGAGGACTAACTGCTGGATGGCAGGACAGGAAAGAGCTGTAAACAACCTGGGTTTGCTCACCCACATGTGCAGGCTCTTTTGTCAGAGAGGGACCGCTGTCTTGGGGACAGGGGACCAGAGAAAGCCCTTGTGGTACAGGGTGGGGACGGGGGTTAGGACACAAGGACAGCAGCCGCCGGATGCGCGCTCTCTCTGGGCCCCGGCCCCCAGACGAGGAAACACTGAACGAGGTTCTGGAATGGCAATGGTGGCAGGGAGGGCACAGAGGTGCTCCCCTCTCCTGGACCCCCAGGCCACCTCTCAGACCCAAGGAGAGGCAGTCTGCCCCCTGGGCTCAGGGCAAAGGGCCTGGGAAACTGACCTGGGCCCATCTGTACCTGGGGCAGCCAACGCAGAGAAGGCTCTCCCAACCCCATCTCCCAAATCCCAGCTGCTTTTGACAAAACCAAAAAATAAATAGTGTATATTTTTCACGCCACCTGGATTTCCTGGCCCCGTGACCAGAGGTGCAAGCCCTCCTCCTCTACCCCACACCCTAGCGCCCACACCGAGGGCACTTTCCGCCCAACCGGGGGCTAGGAGCAGCACAGCGAGGGTCTCCGGCCGTGTGACCCCTGGCAGCAGGCCCTCCAGGGTCCTGGTTGAGGGGCTGGCTTGGCCCTTTGGTCCACCTTGTTCATTAAAATTAAAATAAGAAAAAAAAAGGCTCCACTTGGTGACTTGGGTCTATAGAGGTCTCTGCTTCATCCTTCTGTCTGTCATTCCGTCCATCCTGCAAGGCTTCACGCAGGCCAGATCTGGAGGCTGGACCCAGCCACGCTCACCAGTCACTGCAGTTTCGTCCCCAGCTTGCGTTGTCTGTTCCTGCAAAATGGGGGTGGGGGTCAAATTAGGGGACTCCTGGCCTTCAGTGACCCATTTCCTTAGCTGTCCCCTCCCTACCCATAGTCCTATCGAAATGGGTGAATGCCCACCCCCAGTGGCCCCAGTGACTGACTCAAGCCAGGCCAATGCCCTGATACCTGGGACGTGGGGCCTAACAAGGGTCTATCTCTAGCTCACCTGCATCTCTGATGTCTCAGCTCTGGAGTCAGGAACAGAGCCGGGAGACTGGGGTGGGGGTGGGGCCGGGATGTGAGGACAGAGGCAAAAAGGGCCTGGCTGGAGTCCAACTAATTATGGGGAGCTCCCCTTTACAGATAAGCCAGCACAAGCAGGGTTCTGTTATTATTGACCAAAACAGACAGTAAGGTAGTGAGTTCTCCACCTAGGAGGTATGTAAGCAAAGGTGGAACTGATAGAGGTTATGGAAGGGATTTGAGCACCTGGCTTTGGGGTGTGGCTACATCAGTGATAGGCCCAGGAGTCTCAGGGAAGGTGGGACAATCCCATTTTCTAGAGGGGCTGGCAGAGGCTCAGAAGGGGGAATGGGGCATTCTAGAGTCCCAGTTAAAATTCAGAGACCTAACTGCGCCCACAGCTCCAGTGTGATGTGGCTCCCGCCTTCTCTCACGCCACCCCCTTGCTCCCTGGACTCCAGCCTCTGGCCTTGGTTGGGTGGACTCGCTGAGTTTCCTCCTGCCTCAGAAGCTCTGAGCATGCTGTTCCCTCTGCTGAGGGCACCTTCCTGCCAAACCCCAACTTCAACAGGCCCGTGCTTTCTCCCCTCTCATCTGTCTCCCCTGGGCAGCGGGCCCGACAACTCCACCCCAACATCACGTTCCTGTCACGAGCTCTCAAGCCCAGGGCACTCATCACACAGGCAGGTGACTTATTCCTCGTGTCTTCGCTGACTGCCATGGCTGTCTCACTCTGTGCCCGCCCCAGCACACAGCCTAGCACAGAGCGGGTACATGTGGATACTTTGGTAAATGAAGGTAGGGGGCGGCCAGCCCGCTGGGGTGAGACTAGGCGGGACGGGACCAGGTGGGACAGGACCAAGAGGGGCGGGATATGGCTGGGCAGGGCCACTCAGGGTGCCAGGTGGAGAGCCTGGGCCAGCTGGGGCCTTTCCTCCAGTAATGGGATTGCCGCCCTAACCCCCTCAAATCCTCATGGATCCAGTGCTTTACCCTTAAGCTCGTTACGATAATTTGGACCATGATGCACTAGACACATCTCCTGCCTGCTGCAACGCGTCGCCCTGGCCCGGCTCCACGGTCCCTCTAATGGCGCCTTGGGGAAACCTCTCTTCTGAAGCTGGGGAGGAGCCACGCCTTCCCCACCCCCGCTGGCACCCCACCCTGGATTTGGGATAAGTGGGGAGGGAGAGCTGAGTCAGCAGACTCCAAAGCCCAGTTTTGCACCAACTTGCTGTACAACTGCACCTCGGTTTACCTACTAAACAGCCTAAGGGATGTCCACGCAAAGGCGCCCTGAGAATCTCGGCTGCCCAGCTCTTTGGTTCTGGGCCAGACAGCCAGGGTTCCTAGCCCAGCTCCCCCACCCACGGTCTGTAAGTCATCGGTCAGGTGACTCCTCCTGTCATCTTGGAGCCTCAGTTTTCTCATCTGTAAAATGGGGTTCAGGGGAAGACGCAAGACAAGTGCTTAGGCAAATACCTGGCTCTTGGGGGACCCTCCAAAAATGAGGGCAGTGGCTGCCCTGGGGCTGTGCCTCACTGAGCCAGGCCCCAGTGATTGTTCAACTCACCTGGCTTCTGCCCGGGTCACCGTATACTCAAACCAGAGTACATTGGGAATGAGGCTTGTGTCCCGGATTAGGAAGAATTCAGAAATAGGCCTGGAGAGACAGACACCCAGAACCCCAGGACCACATCAGGGGATGATCCTGTCATCAAGCTAGACGCCCCCATCAGTGCCTAGGGCCAGCAGTGCACCCCTTCCCGCCCCCCACTCAATCTTTGCCTGGCCTATGACCCCAGAGCGACTGAGACCCAGATGTGTCACTTGTGTGACATTCAGGCAGGGGCATTGCCCCACAGTACACACAGCCCAACAGGACTTAGGCTGCTTTCTAAGTCCCTGAGAGTCTAGATGAGGACAGAGGATGACACCTTGGCTTCTGGGCCCAAGGAAACCCTGGGGGAGGTGGATGCCAGGCAAGTGGGGTCTGCAGCCTAATGCCCGCCAGCAGCCTGGACACTAGGCCCACACAGGGAGACCAAGGCTGGAGTCAGGAGCCCTGGGTCCTATAGCTGATGGCCCCTCCCACAGGAGGGAAACTGGTGCCTGGGAAGGCGGGAGGGATAGCAACAGGGGCAGGAAGCAATTACCAGGCTGCTATCCTGGGGAACAGTGGGGTGAGGACCTCCTGGGTGAAGGCGAACCAGGCGATGGCCATGAGGCTTCCAGCGATGCCCCCATAGAGTACCTGGCTCCAGGTGTGGTAAAGCAGGTAGACCCTGGGCCAAGAACAGGGGAAATTCATGAGAGCCAGCCAGAGACAGGCTTGCATGAGCTTCCATGCCCAAGTACCAGCTTCCCAGGGACACGTGTGCACCCACAGATAGGTACGAACTCCTATGAACACAGAGCCTCGGATCTGTTTTCGGAAGAAAGGAGAGTTGGACCTCGATAGTGGCTCTCCCAACTCAAAGTGAAAACATGGCTCACAGCTGGGACTTGCCTCCTTTCTGTCCAGCCCTTGAACTCTGAGTTTGTCTGCAAAGAGCACCTCTAGGATGCTGGGAACAGATGGCTGATGTGTGGAGGTGTCCCCAGAACCTTGGGCTCAGCCACGAGGAGAGAGCAAGGACGAAGCTGGAAGGGGCAGTGGAGTCCTGACCCTTTAAAACAAGAGGCCTGTGGGACCCCTTTCCCAGCCCTGCCCTACAGGCTCTGGGACTCAGGTCCACAGTGGGATCCAACAGGGACCAAGAATCCAGCAAGACCCAGTGAGCAGGCTGTGGGGTGGGGTCCTCTCGCCCTGCATACCTGCTGTAGGAGACTAGAAAGGCCACGGTGAGGAGACCCAGGGAGAGCACGTGCCTCCACAGCAAGTCCAGGAACCTGGCGTTGTTCGTTTGGTGCATTCTGGGAAGACAGGCCCGTCAGAGGCCTCAGCCTGCAGCTGGGAGCCCAAGCCTCCCAAGCAGCCTCTGGCCCCACTGTTCACTCCCTGGGCGCCTTCTGCCCTAGATGCAGCTACTCCCACCCTCAGAGAGGCCAAGCCCCAAAGGGCATCCAAAGGGCTCGCAGTGAGTCCCTGGCGGAACCTGGACTAGGCCAGCTCAGGGCCACTCCAGCCAGGGCAGAAGCTCACCTTAAATACAGAAAAAGGAAGGAGTAGACGGAAAAAAACCACATAAACTGGGAATGACTGGAGGGCATCCCGTACTTGGCGCCCACTGCCGTGTGGGGACCTGGGGGAGAGAGAACAGGGCACGAGGGGAGAATGCAGGCCTCCCAGGAACACCCCGACCTGGGAGAGCCCCAGACCCGAGGCCCGGACCCTACCTCCACAGGGCCGCGGCTCCTGGATGACGTGTTTGATCAGCCAGTTGACCCCCTCGTTCAGTGCCAGGCCCCCGAGGAATGAGATCTGCCGGGAAGATGTGTGGTCAGCGGGGCCTCTGTGTGCCTGCTGGCCACTGCCCAGCCCCAAAGACTGTGATCTCCGACTGAACCTCCCAGCCCAACTGGTAAACAACTTGGAACCAGCCAGGAGGCTCCTCAAGAAAAGGAGGCACGGAAGGGGAGGCGAAGCACCTGGGATGAAATGGTACAGCCCTCTCCCTGGGGTAGGGGCACCCGGGAGCAGTGAGGGGGACAGACTCACTCACCGTGTGCAGCTCCCGCTTGAATATGATGAGGGTCACAAAACCAACAATGATGAATATGGGGCTGAGGCTCAGGTAGGCAAGGAGGTGGCCAGAGAGATCACCTGGGCGAGACAGAGAGAATGGGATGATGACACAGCACAAGCATCAGAAGAGGGAGCAGCCCCCTGCAAGTCAAATAGGGCCACAAAGGGGGTCCCGGCAGGGCCTAGAGGGCAGGGCCAGGTAGGTGTGGGCCCCTCAGTCTACCAGCGGCCCACAGCAGCTCAGTCGCAGGCAAGATGTGCCAGTGTCTGTTCACTAAGCACTGAACTTCACAGATGGTGAGTTTTAAGCAGGTGCCTTCATAGTTCCCATTCTATACATGAAGAAACTGAGTCCCACAGGGGTTGTGTGACTTGCCCAAAGTCATGCAGCCAGAAGGAGGTGGGAGCTGGACTAAAATCCAAGTCTCCAGCCTGGGCCTGTCGGAGCAGGAATTTGAACCCAGCTTGGTCTGACCCCAGAGGCTGGACCCTGTACCAGGGGGCAGCCTGGCAGGCACATGGGTGCCTCTGGAACATAGTACTGACCTGAGGCTGCCCCTACTGAACCCGGGCCTCCAGGGGAAGCTGGTATTCTCTGGCTACCACACAGACCTGAGTCTACACTGTAGACTCCAACGAGGACCAAGGCCAGGGGTGGTGAGGAGGCTGTGTTGCCCGATATGGCCGCCCACTGCTTCTCACCGCTTCTCTATTGGAAAGAAATTGGCTACCTATTGACTACCTGATTTTTACGCTCCTATCAGGCCAGGGAGGGAGGCAGTGTGAAGACTGCCAGCCCCTCTTCGGAGATGAGGGCATTGTGGCCGAGAGACGAGAGCCACTTTCCCCCTTGCTCAAGGACGGGGCTGATGCCAAGTACCAAGACCACCCTCACCATTCAAGACAGAGCAGCTACCTGGCCACTCTGGGGTCAGAGGGCACGGTTCAGTTCCTGCACCAGCACTTTTTGGCTGTGTGACTTCAGGCCAAGACTCCACCTCCCTGAGCCTCAGCTCTCTTGCCTGTAAAATGGGGATATTAGTACCCACCTCCTACGGCTGTGTGAGCTTTAATGATACGGGGCCTGTGTGACACCCAGTTCAGTCCCCGGTACCCAGGACACTTCCATGTTGAGGGCTCTGCTCACCTAGAGGTTGGGAGAACCCAGCGTGAGAAATGGCCCACACCACCAGCCTGGCCTCACACAGGCAGCAGTGATGGTGCCCACACAGGGCTGAGCCCAGATTCCTGGCTGAAAAGATGGGCACACACCTGGCCTCACCCACACCTACCCAGGGTAGAGCTTTTGGAGTTGGCCTGGGAGAATAGGCCATCGACCTAAGTTCAAGTGCTAGTGCTGCCACAGGCCGGCTGGGTGACACTGGGTGAGGCCCTTCCCTTTTCTGGGCCTCTGCCTCCTCACCCACACAACGGCCCGGCCCCTTCCAGCCCTGAGATTCTGGGTCTCTCAGCTGCGTAGCTGATGCCCAGGGCGCTGGGCCATCAAGGGGTAGCTGGTGCCCCCAAACCTTTGGCCATCTTCATGGCCTGTCGCTCACCTGGTGCTAGCCTGGGACCTTCCTGCAGATGCTGTCTGCGACTCTGGCCTCACCACTCTGCTCCGAGCCTCTCCACGGCTCCCTCGGCCCCTGGGATGAGTCCCACCTCAGCCCAGCTCACTGAGCAGTCCTAGCCCCGCCCCCTCTCAGGCACTGCTCCTGTTCTGGGACAGAATTCTAGTTTCCTGAATGCACCGTGCTCTGTCCTATTTCTGGACCTTTGCACACACCATTTCCCCCACCTGGGATGCTGTCTGAGTTAACTCAACATAAATTAAGTACCCGCCACTGTGGCAGAAAAAAGACACATTCCTGCCACTGCAGAGCTCTCAGTCTGGTGGAGAAATCTGTAACTGGACATCATTCATGATTTGCTTGTTAGTGCAGATACTGGGCTGTGTCTCTCTCCCCCTACATGTCTCAAGAGAGCAGGGATGGGGTTTCTTTACACCCTACTCAATCCCCCAAGTTCAGTCCAGTGCCTGGCACTTAACAGGGCTCAAAAACAATAGTAAATGGAGAATAGATAAAGGAAGCAAGGATCAGTGTGATGAGGGGTATGAAGGAGGAGTACAGGGGGCCCAAGAAGAGTTAACAGGGAGCTAGATCTCATGGGATGCCCCCAGGCTCAGGCAGGTCCCTCCTCTGGGCACCCACGGTCCCTGCAAAGGGTCCCTCATCACAGCCTGCGCCATGCTGCTCACAACTGCCAGGTTCCTTCTTTTCGCTTGTTAGACTGAGAGCACTCAGAGAAGGCACTCTGAGGCCAGGGAGGGGAAGTCATGAGGGTGCTGAGGCCTTCGCCAAGTCCCTTCCCTTCTCCCGGCCTTGGTTTCCCTCCTGTAAAGTAGGATTTTTTCGCAATCCAGGACTTCAGGAATTTATCAGCCTGTTCGCCATTTTAAACTCAGAGCCAGCTCAGGGCCTAGCACTCAGGAGGCACTGAATGGATACTGGCTGAATTAACGGATGGACGGATGGTGGGCAGGCAGGCAGGTGGGGCCCAGCACCTGGCAGGGCCACCCCATTCCCAGTATAACTCAGAACATCCAGGGTCAAAGTTCCCTGGCATCCAGCCCTGGGGCCCTCAGCAGGGCCAGGTTCTCACATCTCCGCCCAAAAGAGCAGCATGAGCAGGCCCTTCCCAGGGCAACGGAGGCTCAATGAGGGGCTCACGTGACACTCAACCATCCTACCAAGGGAGGGTGGGGTGGGCTTGAGAGGGTCCTAGGAAGATAGGATATTAACTGCAGTTATTTACTGAACGCTGTATGCCAGGCATTGCACTCAGCATTTCTCACACTCCCTGTTATTTGATTCTCACACCACCACTAGAAGGAAGGCACTGTGATTAGTCCCACTTCAGAAATGAAGTGATTGGGGTACAGACAGGTGAAGTCACTTGCACAAGGCCTAAGCCTGAATTTGAACCCAGGCACCGGAGGCCCAAACTCTGCACCGCTCTACTAAACCGCCTCCAGAACGGTAGCTAAAGGACCTCCCAGCTGGAAAACTCTGCGCTTCCAGATATGTATCCAATGGCAGGCTCCAGAAGTCAAGATCCTGGGGGTGCCTGCCCCTCATCCGTTCCCCTCTGTTGTGGAACAGTGCCCAGCACAGGGCATGGCATACCAGAAGTACTCAAACAACGAACAGCTGACCGGCCTCGGTTTGCACATTCTCAGCAACGAGGAGCTCATTCTCTTACGGGCATCCCAAAAGCACTGTTAGAAGGAAACAGGCACTCCCTGCACGCCGGGAGGGAGTCAGGCCTCTCTGGCTCCGGGAAGGGCGGAGAAGAAGGGCCCAGGTCCAGGCCACTAATCTTTTCCCGCCTCATACAGATCCCCCACCTTATTACAGCCCACTCAAGC